AAATTAGTATAAAAAAAAAAAAGCCAAATTAAACAAACAAAAAATTTTTCTTTTAAATGTCAGTCCGTATAACTCGCAAATAAAAATTTTCTTCAAAATATTCTAGACGTAAATTACGGAACACAAGTTCTATTTTTATCTTATTAGAAAAAAAATATTAAATTTATTCTAAACAAGCGGATTATCAATAGAAATAAAAAATTAGATTTAATGCTTTCTATACGTTAATATAAGTATCCAGAATGCAGACTAGAGTTTAAAAAATACCATCCAGGGCCCCTAGCTGCCCAAACCACCTGTATCGTCTAACAGTACGCTCACGCGAGACCAATATCATACTAGCTTAATGCTAAGCATTTAACTAGTATGATAGCGTCATGGTTTGGCTATCTTAGATACTTATATAGAAATTACAGAGAAAACTTCTTACAGTTAACTCCGATCTCATAACATATAAAAGCTATCTAACTTTTATATATATATATATATAATAAAAGTTTCTACTTGCCTTTTGAGTATAAAAGTGCATTGTGCGGAAGTAGCGTATTTCTAAACATCCAATAAAGCCCAAATTTCTTGCAAAGTGTATCTGCTAATGATCTCTTCCTCTTGATCCAAATTTTCGTTGGAATATTCTATGACTTGAGGAAATTATACCGATACGAAGATGGTGTTGGTTTTCCTAGAGAATATGAACGGCAAGCAAAAATGTTAATTTAAAGAATGAAAATGGTGAAAATGGTGGTCCTCTGCTTAAATTCTTTCAAAGGATTATTGTAAAGCTGTAAACATTTTCACCTTAATATTTTTGTTCAATAAAATACTAATGTCCAATGAATGTCGACACTTCATAATGATAGAGTTTAAATCATCATCCCGTCTTCTGTTTCGATAGTCCAAAAATCTAATACATACTGTATATAAAAAGAAAGGTAATCTTAGTAGTTTTTGAAGAATTTAACCGTTTCTTGAAAGAAAGTATTTTTAATCGAAGTAAAATCACTTATAGTTTCTTTCTTTAAAGTAGTTAATCAAACTTTCGTTCAATTAACGCGTCTTTTTTTTTTTAACTGCGCGTCAGCTAATACTGTCAATTCTTCTGAACTACGTTTATTCCAATAAAGATTCAAAGGAATTCAGGACAGTGCTTTTGCAAAGCACATCTACTATTGCTTCTTTTTCTGATCAAAGTTCATCAAGCAGCGTTCTTGCAAGTGTGTAAGCTAGAGAAATCAATATGGAGTTTTGCAAAGTAAATCTTCTAAAGTCTTGTCTTTTTCTAATCAAAGCTCGTTATGATCAGGAAGCGAAGAAAAAATGCACATCAGTCTAATCCCAGATTTCCTGGAATGATTATATAAAGTACCCTAGCCATGGCGAAAACGAGGTGTCGGATCATGTGATTTATGACTCTCTGAATGATCACCCACCAATCAAAATCCGGGATCTGGTGTAACGTGAAATTTTACGAAAACACTAAAGTTTTTCAAAAATTAAAATTTTTTCTTGCAAAATTTTACTATGAGCTACATTTCCTAATCCAAAATATATGTTTTTTTCCTTTTATTTATATGTTGTCTTCGATTGTTTTGATTTTTAGATATCAGACCGGATGCTTCGGAAATCACATGACCCGACATCTCGTTTTCTCCATGGCTAGGGAATCCGATTAAATACATGTGATGTCACTTGTTTTGCACTTGGGCCATGTCATTTAAAAATAGATCTACATATTACATAAATTCTATTCTTGATATCCATATATAAAAAAACTATTAACTGCATCAAAAAAACTAAACCTAACGTACATGGCCCTTGATGCGATTTATGCGAGTGATACAGCCCCCAAAAAGGAAATTCAATGTAAGTTCGCGAAATTAAAAATTTAGAGGCGATAAAAATAAATAATTCCTTCCACATGCAAAATTTCATTTTAATTAGGAGTTTAAACACTCAGTTTCTTGTATTTTCGCTTTTTTCGGGGGGTTTCCTGTTTTTCTACGTATCAGGCCCGGGAGAATCACTTTTTACGTTCTCCACTCGCACAAATAAGTGCTCACGCTTGATAAAAAAAATAGCCAATCAGAGAATAAACTTTAAGCTCAACTTGCATATTACAGCATTAAGTAAAATTAAGGTTGGGAAAATTACCGTAATTTTATATAATTTTAATATTTTATGTAAGTTTGTGTAAGTTTCTGAAACCAAGAAACGTGATCATTCTATCATATGATTCAATATGATTGCTTTAATCATATGCGCATCGCTTTGATAAGTAAACTTTATGCAAAATCTATTGAAGTTCAATAACGAAATCTAAATCTTTCATAGTGCTGGCACTATGTATCATACGTGTGAATTTACATGTAAAATGTAATTTTCAACCCTAAGTGAAATATGTTCCTGGGATAATTTTATAATTGCAATTAAAAATTAAAAAACTGAATTCTGACCAAAATTATGTAGTATGAGGACCAGAGTTTGTTTATCACAGGTATTGGGCAACCAAAATCGAGGACCAATCGCGCATTTTTTGTGGTTTAATGAAACCCGCGCGGGATTTTTGGAGAAACCGCGATTTGCCAATCTCTATCCAGGCACTTTACCTTTTATTATTACCGTTACATTCACATAATCTACTCATAAATACTATTATATTTATCTAAGTCATGAAGGTTTTACGAATGATCCAGCAACAATGTAGTGTCTGAAAAACTTGAAAAGTATGAACATAATACATTCATCTATTATCCAAAATCAAAGATGGGTGACATTATTGGGATATTTAAAGTTGAATACTGTTATGACGAATGAATTGGTGTTAAAAAGGACAAAAATAAGGGTAACACTAACGGGACATTTTACTGTAATAACGAAAGAATTAGAGTTGAAATTGATGAACATAAAGCATCATTCTTTTTCAAAAATCCGCAAAGATGGGAACGCTGATAGGATATATAAGTACATATAAGCTATATAAGAATTTGTTTTTTTAATGGTCTTGGAGTCGAAAATGATGAGCATGAAGCATTCATTCATTTTCAAAAATCGCAAGATATGGAGGAAAAAGGATAAACAAAAGCAATAATCTATTATTCAAAATCAGCAGAGATGGGTGACGTTGGTGGATGAAAGAATTGGAATTGAAAGGATGAATATTCGTTTTCATATTTCCGTAGAGATGGAAAATACTGATGGAACGTACAATCCAGGTAACAAAATTTTATTGCCTTAATGGAATTGGAGTTGAAAAGGACGAATAGAAATCCAAAAATTAGCAGAGGTGGGTAATGCCGATGGAATATTAATGTTGGATATTATTATTATGAAGTTGCAATTGAAAAAGATACCATAAGGCACTCATTCATTTTCAAAATCTGCAGAGATGGGAAACGCTAATGGAACGTCTAATTCAGATGAGAATATTATTTCAATGGAATTGGAGTTGAAAAGACTGAACCTAAAGCACACATCTATTAATAAAATTAGCAGAGATGGGGTGAAGTTAGTAGAGCATTGACGTTGGATATTGTTATTACGAAGGAAGGCATCTGTTCATTTCAAGAATCTGCAGAAATGGAAAATGCAGATGGAATACATAATCTGGGTAAGAAATTATTGTTTTAATGTAGCTGATTTAATATAGATATTGTTATGAAGAAATTGGGGTAGAAAAAGATAAATCTAAGCTATTCATTTATTTTCAAAAATGCGCAGATATGAGGAATGCTGATGGAACGTATAATCCGAGTAAGTGTTATTTAATGGAATTGGGGACGTAAAGCATTCTTCTATCATCAAAAATTAGCAGTGATGGATGACACTAGTGATGCATTTAATGTTGGGTTTTGTCATGATGAAGGAATTGATGCTGAAAAGTATAAACATAAAAGATTTATTTTTTTGTTTTTTTACTTTTTTTTTAAAAAAAATATGATATTTAAAATAAAGAAATAATTTATTGAGCATCCGGGTGAATTATTCACACTCTTAAGTACAAAAGGAAAATCTGATCATATTAGGGTTAAATTTGAGGTAGGGTTAGTGTTAGTCTAAAGTAAAATTGCGAGAGGAATATTTTTGGTTATGTTAAATGGCACAGTTATCTTGGTAAAATTTTTGAGATATTAGCATTTTCAAAATTTATTATAGGTGGTTAATAATTCACCAGGGTGATGAATAAATGTATCCTAAAAGAAATTTTACTTAATTTTTTAATACTTTTAATAAAATGATAAAATTTTAAGACATTTTGTTTTTGATCGCGGGAGTGAAAAATATCAAATATCGCTATAAACGAAGAATTATGACATCACCTATGTAAAAAAAAACGAATTTATAAAATAAAACAAATTGAGTCGTAACTAGTGACGTTAATAAGTCTGCATCTATAAATTTCACTTTGTGCGAGAAATAAATTTACTCTTTATATAATTATATTTGCCCACCTATACTAAAATTTATCTGAATTGAATACGTATTTTATATAACTTTTAACAAAAAAGAAAAAAAAAACAAAAAAAATTCCAAATATATTTAATTCAACTTTTTGCTTAATTTTTTAATAAAATTAAAAACCCGAAATTTTTTATATAAAGTTGTGAATACTATCTTATTTGACCGATAAGTACAACAATCAAAAAGAGATTTCCTATGCCTGTTGAGATTTCTGACTTTGAAGCTCTAAGATCAATAAACAAAATTGTAATTTGCTATCCACTCAGAAAATGTGTACCAGGTTAGCTCCTGAACTACGAATCAAATTTTCAAGATTGACTGTAACGATAACATGATAAGGAAGATTTGTTCGCTCTGCCGAAAATCGCTCATAATTCAAAAATTAGCATAAGAAGCCACCTTTCGTGCTCTAACAAAAGTTTCGTCTGATAATTTTACTATTACAATTACTCTAACCCTGATCACAACCCTAATCTTAACGAAGTTTAAAATTTTTGTCTACTTCACAACCCGGTACACATTTTCTGAATGCGAAAATTCCTATGAAACGACGTAAAAAGATTAAAAAAGTTTTAAAATTTCAGTTGTCCAAATTCAAGCTAACGAATCGAAGCTTACACTTACCAATTAATGCCGATACTGGAACAGTAGCTTTAACAAATTACGACACCTGTAAACAACGGTTTTGATAAGCGACAACGTAACAAAGACAAAAAAATTTAACAATTAGTACATAAAAAAAAAAACTAAACTAACCAAAAACATTCTCTTTTAAATGTCAGTCCGTATAACTCAAATAAAACTTTTCATCAAAATATTCTAGACGCAAATTACGGAGCACAAGTTCTATTTTTATATTATTAGAAAAAAATATTAGATTTATTCTAAACAAGAGGATTATTGATAGAAATAAAAAATTAAATTTATTGCATTCTATATGTTAATATAAGTATCCAGAATGCAGACTAGAGTTTGAAAAATACCATCCAGGGCCCCTAGCTGCCCAAACCACCTGTATCGTCTAACAGTACGCTCACGCGAGACCAATATCA